CAAGCAGCGCGGGTAGCCTACTTAGGTTAGGAGGAACCACCATAGGCAACATGGGAATCCTTGATCTACTTGTTTCTCTAAAAAAGACCGATTTAAATATTTTCATCATTTTATTATAAGTGAAACGTAAAAAAAAAAAGAATAAAAATTCGAGGAGGATTAATGGCAATTTTAATCACAAATTACCGCGTTAATGAGAAATTTGAAGTACAAAGAGAAGTGGGCGAAGACAAAGAAGAGTATACATACGAACACTTTCGTACTAAGCACTCAGTTAGGAGACAATTGCAAAAATATCACTTTTAATATGTACATTTGTAAGAATGCCATTTAGAAGTTTTCATTTACAAAATACCATTAATTATAGGTTTTCTAAATCTAAATCTTAAAATTATAAAACCTAAAAATGTTTTGACCCCTAAAACTCCTAAAATCCTCAAAACTAAACCCTAATACAACATAGTTAACCCAAACATAAATGATATAATAATTTTTTTTTGAGAAAGTTGCATTTTTGAAAAATAACACTTAAAAATAGCATTTTTTAAAATTTCTCCAGAATTCTTGTTGTTTGTCTTTGAATTGAACTCTTTGGACTCTCGGCTCTTTGTATCACTCTGTAGACTGAAGTTCATCAATGTTGTTTGTTAATTAATTGTCTAGCACTCAATTTTGTCATTGAAAAACGAATCGGATTCCTAAACCAAGAGACGACGTTCTTAACTAATTGTGATTATTGAACGTTTTACAACATTCAAATAGTAATATTTACTTGAATCGTATTTTATTATAATTTTGGCGAATTTGATGAACTTATAAGGCATATAGAAAAGGAGAACTATTTGGAGCAAATTACAATATATGGCTTGTAACCAAGTAAATGAGATCTGGCTGAATTCATCAATTTTATTTCATCAATTGTATGTATATATAGGATCTGGCTAAATTTGCTAAATTTCTCAATGAGTTCGTGATTTCGCATGTTATTTTGTTTATCAGTTTTTAGTTGAATCATATTTTGTTATCATTTTGATGAACTTGTAAAATGTGAAGAAAAGAAGAACAAAATTTTCGGTAAATCGTCCTTTTTAGGGCTTTCCAAACTAGTTGTGTGAGTAGTACATAGAAGGTACCCTAAAACAGTTTCTATAAAGTCCTAAAATCCCATTCAAATATAAGAAATGTTAATATAGAAATATTATATTTTTGTTTGTACAGTATTGTGGCATTGATCTTCTCACTTGATTAAATCCCTTTAATTAGCATTACATTATGATTTCAAGTCGACTAGAACATTTTTTTAATTCATCAATTCCGCTATTATTAAAAACTAGTGAAAAAAAAATTAACAACGAAACCACAATTTCGCAGAAACTTAATTAAATCAAGTTTTTTTTTGCTCACTTATTACGTTCTAATAGTTTTATTTTTTCTTAATTTTCAACGACTCCGCATTTCTACCATAAAACCATATTTGTATCAGTGGACTTTTCACTAGACAACTCTTCAACGAGTCACATTGTAAGAGCATCTGCATTAGTGATACAACATGAGTATCATTAAATATAAAATTATTAAAACACATACTCT